GGGGGGGGGGGGGGGGGGGGCAGTGTTCACTGTGAGGCTGGTAATGACCACAGGGTCAGGTTCTTGGCCCCCAGGATTGTAGGCTGGCACTTCGGTGAGAAGAGGTTTCTGAGGAGGCTTCCCCTGGGATTATGCCAAGTGTTGGGGAGAACTCAGCACATTCCAGTGGTGTATGGCTTCCATGGGGTGAGTTTCCCTAAAAATTGCGGGGCCACAGCAAAAAAATGAGGGTCTCCCCCTTACCGCCCTTTCCCTCCACAGCTTCATTGAGGACAATGAAATTGGCTCCATCTCTAAGAATGCTCTCAGAGGACTTCGCTCACTCACACATCTGTATGTGCCTCCAAGGCCTCACCCCTCCACTGCCCCAGCCCACCCTGGCAGGCACACCACAGCCCATCATCCAGAGCACAGGCTGTCCTCGTAGCTGCTGATGGTTCCTCCTCTTTCTTTCCTTCCACCAGGAGCCTGGCCAATAACCATCTGGAGGCCCTCCCCAGATTCCTGTTCCGAGGCCTGGAGACCTTGACTCATGTGTGAGGCTCAAGGGGGCTGCGTGGGGAGGTGGGAATGTTTGAGGAGGGAGGGGATATCTGTGCCCACTTTTGGTAGGCACAATGTGTACGGCTGCAAAGATGCATATTTCTCACACCACCTGTGGGGCTCCATCCTGAACTCTTACCTGGGGAGGGGTGGGGAGTGTGGCCTCCGGATGTGGAAGCCGGGTCGCAGCCCCTCCCCGGCCTCTTGCCCCAGGGACCTCCGTGGGAACCCGTTCCAGTGTGACTGCCGTGTCCTCTGGCTGCTGCAGTGGATCCCCAGCGTGAACGCCAGCGTGGGGACCGGGGCCTGCGCCGGCCCCACCGCCCTGGCCCACATGCAGCTCCGCCTTCTCAACCCCAAGACGTTCAAGTGCAGAACCATAGGTGGGGGCTTTCCCTGTGGGGTGGGAGGGACAGCAGGGGTTCCCAGAAGAAGTTGGGAGATCAGGGGGACAGAGGCCCGGGCTGAGGGGTTCACCTCGCTTCCTGCTTCCTGCTCTTTCCTGGCTGTGAGACTCTGAGCAAGCAGCATCACCTCCCTGACCCTCGGTTTCCTCATCTGTAACATGGAGGTAATAAACAGTGACAGGGTTGCTGTGAGAATTCAGTGATGTATCCACGCCTGTATAACATCTGGCACAGAGCCTCGAATGGGAGGCCCTTATAAATGTTCGTTCTTGCTACTCTTATTAATATAAACATGGCCATTTCTAAAATGCTTCCTATGACCATTTTGCTTTTCCATAAACATATGTTGGTGCCGTTATGGGCACTGGGCAATGCAGAAAGCACAGCAGTGATGAAATGGTCCTGGGTCTGGGAGCCCACAGTCCAGAGGACAGCAGAGCCTGGAATGATCAGGGCCAGGGTGGGGGAAGCACAGAGAGGTCAGGGCTGGGAGGTGGGGAGCCCCTGGGGCTATGGGAGCCCAGAGTCAGAGCAAGAGTCAGATACTCCTGAAGAAATGGGCATTTGAGTTCAAATCTGAAGGATATTAATATAATAATAACTATTATTATCATCATCATTTCTAAATGTGACATATTTTAGGTTTGTCGGACTCATAGAAGATAATTTAACTTAAGGGTCATTTAATATATATATATTTTAAATATATTTCTTATTGATTTAAGAGAGGAAGGGAGAGGGAGAGATAGAAATATCAATGATGAGAGAGAATCATTGATCGGCTGCCTCCTGCACACCCCCTACTGGGGATTAAGCCCGCAACCTGGGCATGTGCCCTTGACGGGAATCAAACCTGAGACCCTTCAGTCCACAGGCCAACACTCTATCCACTGAGCCAAACAGGCTAGGGCAAGGGTCATTTTTTATTAAGTTATTTAACAAATATTCACCGAGGCCCACTCTGTGCCTGCCCTTATGAAAGGCAATGGGCACACTGTGGTGACCAAGATAACCAAACTCTGGACCCTGGCCTCACAGTTCTGTGGGGAGGAAGGGAGAGACAAACATTAAATAAAACATTGCACAAATAGATGTATGTTACATATTGTGATAAACACAGGGAGTGACGAGGAAAATTAAGGGGGGGTCCTACCTTACATGGGCATCTGATAAGAGTTTCTAAAGAGATGGCATTAGATCTGGATGTAGCTATGTGAGGTTAGAGGGAAGGACATTGCAGAGAGGGGGGTGTATGTGCAATGGCCCTGAGGCAGCACAGAGCCTGTCCTGCTTGGGGATCAAGGGAAGGCAGGTTTGGTTTGGGAGAGTGAGTGAAAGGAAGGACACATGAGGCCAAAGGTACAGGAGTCTCACTGTACAGGACACTGAGAGCAATAGAGAGGAGAGTGGATCTCACCGAGGCTGTGGAAAGCCATGGTGGGTCTTGAGCAGGGAGTGATCATTGATGGACATTTTAAAAGATCCCCCTTTGGGGGGAGGGGAGCATCCTGGTTAGTTTGGGTCATTGCTGCAATCCTGGCACTTAGAAACAGGCCTGGCATATCGAGTGAAGTAGTATGACCCAGAGTCAACTGCTTAGTTCCACCACCACTCTGCTGGGCAACCTGGGTGCACTGTTACCGTAAAAGCTAAGTTGTAGCAAAGAGATTCAAAATACCCTGAGTTAAAGAAGACAGAGGGCCTGCGATGTGCACTCCCAGCACATCTGGGTGTTGTCCTGGTTTTCATGGTTGACACTGACTTGTCCAGATGACATGTCCATCTGCCAGGTCTTGGGAGTAAGGGGAAGGAGACCAAGTCCAGGGTGAGCCACCTTCATATGTTGAGGCAAGCATTGCAGCCACCACTCTGCTCTTGTTCCACTGGAAACTTGGTTTGGACATGGCCACACCTAACTTCAGGAGGGGCTCCTGAGGGGGTGCTGGGTGATGTGGCCTCTAGCTGGGCAGGTGGTGCCCACCTCCAGTCCTATTTCATGGAAAATGGGAAGGATGGATTTTGCTGGACAACTGGCTGCCTGTGTCTCTCTTTTTTTTTTTAATATATTTTATTGATTTTGTACTGAAAGGAAGGGAGAGAGATAGAGAGTTAGAAACATGGATGAGAGAGAAACATCGATCAGCTGCCTCTTGCACATCTCCCACTGGGGATATGCCCGCAACCAAGGCACATGCCCTTGACCGGAATCGAACCTGGGACCTTTCAGTCCGCAGGCGGAAGCTCTATCCACTGAGCCAAACTGGTTTCGGCTGCCTATGTCTCTTAACCTTAGTTTCTTCATCCATAAAGTGGATATAATAGCAGAATGTACCTCATTGGGATTTTGTGAAGTTAAATGAATTAAACATGCTGTTTCTAAGCAGTTATTTGATGATGGCACCAAGCTTAGAAAATAAAGTATTATCATGTTGTTTTGAATTAATACAGCTATAGATTAAAAAGATTCCACTCTATGTACCTATGAGATGAACACCATGACGGTCCTCATTTCAGAGATGTGCAAACCGAGGCTCAGCGATGAAGACCTTTGGGGTCTCCCGGGCCTGCCTGACTTTCTCCTGCCATCCCCAGAGCTGTCCCGGTTCCAGACGGTTGGGGAGTCGGCGCTGGGCGTGGAACCTTTCTCCTACCAGGGGGAGCCCCACATGGTCCTGGCACAGCCCTTTGCTGGCCGCTGCCTGATTCTTTCCTGGGACTATGGCCTGCAGCGTTTCCGGCTTGAGGAAGAGCTATCCGGTGAGCTCCCCCTCTCATCTTCCTGCCTGCGGGGTCAAGGGCTGGGGGCTGCCCTGCCCAGCTGGCCTGATCTGCCTCTTGCTCCCTGACTCTCCCACAGCTCCCTCGGTGGTGTCCTGCAAGCCCCTGGTGCTGGGCCTGCGCCTCTTTGTGCTGGCTGCCCGCCTGTGGGGAGGCTCACAGCTGTGGGCTCGGCCCGGTCCCGGCCTGCGCCTGGCCCCGACCCAGGCCCTGGCCCCAAAGCGTCTGCTGAGGCCCAATGACGCTGAGCTCCTGTGGCTGGATGGGCAGCCCTGCTTCGTGGTGGCCGATGCCTCCAAGGCAGGCAGCACCACCCTGCTGTGCCGCGACGGGCCTGGCTTTTACCCACGCCAGAGCCTCCACGCCTGGCACCGGGACACGGACGCGGAGGCCTTGGAGCTGGACGGCCGGCCTCACCTGCTGCTGGCCTCCGCCTCCCAGCGGCCCGTGCTCTTCCACTGGTTCGGGGGCCGCTTCGAGAGGCGCACGGACATCCCCGAGGCCGAGGACGTCTACGCCACACGCCACTTCCAGGCCAGTGGGGATGTGTTCCTGTGCCTGACGCGCTACATCGGGGACTCCCTGGTAAGCCTGGGCCCAACCAGGTAGAGGTGGGAGCAGAGGCCACAGGCCACCTCGGACCTGCAGTTGACTCCTACTCAGGGCTGTCTTTTCAGTGGGGACCACCCAACCTGGGCTGGTCTTTCAGCATCGACCCCACTTTGCACACTGGCCTCTAAGCTCTGCCCCAAGCTCACCGGCTGATCTTCAAACTCCAACCCCATCTAATGTGTTGACCCTTGAATTCTGACCCCAATCCAACACTGACTTCAAGACTGTGACCCCTCAAGGCATTGCTAACCCTAAACTACTCCCATTCCCCAACGTAGACACTGGCCCCAAGACTCTGATTCTAACCCCAAACCCTGGCTCTGTAACTCTGACTCACTCCAGGACTGACATTTAACCACAGCATCACCCTCCAAGTCCCCAACGCTGGTGCCCACACCCTCCAGCACTCTTTTTAGAGAAAGGTGTACCCAGGGAGAGAGCCTGAGCCTAGAAGTCACTGCTCTGATTCAGTTCACAGAGTGTCTCTGTGGGGAGCAAACTGTGGCACAAGGACAGGAGTAGGTGACCAGGGAAAAGGCGACTATAGCTGGTTTGGAGTGCGGCCAGAGGAGATTGGAGCAATATATAGCATAGTGGGTAAAACTGACAGATTCCATTACTGATGGGTTCTATGTTGGTAGTGGGGGGAGGGAGGAGGCGTGCGGGGGAGCAAGAAGGGCCAAGAATGTGGCCTGAGCAGCTGGGTGAGGACATTTTTAAAGAAAGCTACAGGAGTTTAGGGACCTGCAGGCCTCAACTTACAAGCTGTTCCACGTCCTCTGAAGCCTAGAGGACTATCAACAGGCCTGGCCCTCTTGGATCCCAGTCCTAACCAGCCGCCACACTTCACAGGTCATGCGCTGGGATGGTTCCATGTTCCGCCTGCTGCAGCAACTTCCTTCACGTGGTGCCCACGTCTTCCAGCCACTGCTCATAGCCAGGGACCAGCTGGCTATCCTGGGCAGTGACTTCGCCTTCAGCCAGGTCTTCCGCCTTGAGCCTGACAAGGGGCTCCTGGAACCATTGCAGGAGCTGGGGCCCCCAGCCTTGGTGGCTCCCCGGGCCTTTGCCCACATCGCCATGGCTGGCAGACACTTCCTCTTTGCTGCTTGCTTCAAGGGCCCCACACAGATCTACCAGCTTCACGAGTTAGACCTCAGTGCCTGACACTGGATGGGATCCTGGACATGGCTGGTGAGGGGGCTGGCATGGGGAGTTTTAGGCCTCTGGGCACCTCCTTGACTGACCTCTCGGCCCCGCTTGGGGTTATGGTTGGTCCTGTGAGATACTGGCCACAGCCAAGTTGAAGGCAAGAACTGCCCTCCAATCTTAAGCAACATCTTGGCTGGGGGCAAATGCTGGGCGCTCAGACTGGGGCACGGAGCTGGAATCCAGAAGTCATGGTGGAGTAATGTGCAGAGCTCCATGAGGCCTGGAAGCACCCCCCTCCCCTCAACCCACCCCTCCTACTCCAGCTCCCTGTGCAAGTACCCAGGAGGAGACGGCTTTCCTCGCCCCACTAAACTCAATCTGGCCAATCGCTTTTAGTGCACGCCTCCATGACGTTACCAGTTGCTGGGCAGGTTTTCCTGCCAGGCTTGCTAACTTCCTCTGTTGCTTGTGCGCATGCCTGCTGCCAAGGCGGAAGCCCAGCACATCCTTGCTGTGTGAGGGAAATGGGAGGGAGAGCGAGAGTTTTTGCGGGAGCCCTGGGTACTCCTTTCCAGTGAGTGACCGAGGTGAAGGCGAAGGTGTGTGAGCTCAATAAATGTGCTGTGAGCCCGCCCCAGCTGTTGTTGTGGGATCAGTGGGAGAGGGTGTCCCCTTAGTGAAAAGGGGGGTTGAGGTGGGCAGTGTCCCAGGAGCAGTGTTTTAGAGGGGGAGGTCCCAGGGGAGCATGTTGGTATACTCTGGTAAGCTTTTGGACTTGTCTAAGGAGTGTGGGTTCATGATTGTGGGGGATGTTCAAGGGATATAAGGGCTTTATTAGGGACAGGACACAGCTTTCTTGTGGGTCTCTTCCTGGGGGAGGGGGGGTCTCTTTTTGGATGTTCTGAAGGTTTTTAGGCATCTTAGGGGTGCCTCTTGAGGACATTTTGAGGTCTTAATTGGGTTTTGGGGAGTCTCAAGGGATTTTGAGGCTCATTGGAGGCTCTCACACCAGGTGGCCATCATATATTATTAGGGTTATCATGGGCAATTACGTAAAAGCCTCATGGAGACATTTGGGTATTAGGAAGGGTCTTGCGTAATAAATTGGGGTCACAGCAGTGAGTGAGCCTTAAGGGGTCTTACTATTACAATCATAAGCTATCTGGGTCCTCATATCCTGGTAGGATGATCCACTGTCCAGCCGAGTGTCCCAGCATTTCCTCTGGTTACAGCTCCCTTTCACTCTCAAAAATGTCCTCCATTTGAACTAGAAAATGTTAAATTGCACATGTGACTCCATGGCCATAGCAGCAGAGGACAATGCCATTCGCCAGGTCCCGAGGGAAGAGGCCGTTGGGCTTTTCCCAACAAAGAGGTTCAGCTGCCAGCTTCTGTGGCAGCTTCCAGAGCGTGTCCGCCGCAAACCTCACCCAAGCACACATACAGGATCTCAACGAGTGGGCAGGAGGCAAGCTCACTGTAGATCAAATATTGAACAAAGAGACCCTTACAGTGAAAGTGAGATGGGGTCTGGAAAGGTGGTCTGAGGAGAGGAGGGGATTCCATCCTGGAGTTAGGTTCCTACGCAGACCAGGACATGGGGAAAGAGAGAGGCCCTCTGTGTTCTTTCATGGATCCATCCTCAACAGTTATGAGCAGAGCCTGGGAGAGGTGATAGGGTCAGCTTGTGAGACTGGATGGAGATTTTAGTCCCCAGAGTACACACACACACACCCCTCACATCCCGTGTACTCCTTAGCCCCATCTGTTCCTGTCTTACCTGGTGTGACGAGAGGTGGGATGTCCCCTGGTCGGTGGCTAGGAAAAGAAAAGTGGTGAGATCTGTGTTTGCCTCTTTGTCCTCACCCTCAAGACTAGAAGACTCTCAGCTTTCCTTAGCCTAGCTTCCTGGCTTCTTTCCCATCATAGAGTTGTACCACCCCAGGGTCCCAAGCATTTCAAGATTTGGGGCCCTTCAGGGATTTTCAGCTCTGGAGAATAAACCTAGGAAGTCTTTCTTAGTGGCGGGAATCTCCAGGGCAGAGCCTGGCCACCGGGCCTTTCTGCAAGGTTTCACCCCTGGAAGGTGTCTGTCCAGCACGAGGTAGGCACACACTGGGAATCCGGCTCACCTGCGCTTCTGGCTGAACTTGCACTTGCATTTCCCACCTGTTGGGGAGAGGGGAATGGTCAGGAGAGGGGACCCACAGCCCTGCCCTCCCCACTCCCTGGCAGCTCCTCCACTTACTCATGACGACGATGATGCCGATGGCGCACAGAATCCCTGCACAGATGAGCCCTCCGACTCGGAGGCTGTGCCAGTCTAGGAGAAACCCAGAGGGGGCCCTCAGTGTCAGCCAGCCAGTGTCCTCCTCATCCAAGCACCCACCCACTTAACAAGGATGACTGGGCACCGACGCTGTGCTGGGCGCTGGGATACAGCTGTGCAGAGAACAAGCCCACTCCTCCTCTGCTCATACCTAGTTAACACGCAGGCAAGCAACACAGATCTCAGGGAGGGTCAGATGGAGAGACGTGGTCTGAAGACAAGGAAGCAGAGCCAGGGAACAGAAAGCCTGAGGGCAGCGCTTTTAGGGAGAGTGGCCAGGGAAGGCCTCTCTGGGGGGCCCACTGGAGCAGAGATGTGGGGGGGAGGAGGGAGGGAGCCTGTGGCGTGTGGGAGAAAGAATCCAGTCAGAGGGGTCAGGATGGACACAGATCGGAGGCAGGGAGTGCACCTGTGAATCTGCGCCACAGCAGAGAGGCCACTGTGGCCGGAGCAGAAGCAGCGATGTGGGAGGGAGGACGAGGAGGGACACGGAGCAGGTCATGTGGAATCTGGAGGCCACGGAGGTTTGGGTCTAATGGCACAGCTCCTCCAGGAAGTTTTCTCAAGTCAAACCTCTCCCAGACTTGATTTGAACATAACAGTGGCTTCTCGTAACTGTCCCTGCTGCTCGTAAACTGTCCTTGCTGGATAGTCATGCACCTTCCCGAGGACCAGGCTGGCCTGTCTTGCTCCCTGAATCCACTGTGGCTACTGGCCAATGTCCTGGTCCAATCCTATCCTTGCCCCCTTTCCACCCACAGCAGACCCTCAGCCAACACTGTGTGGGGCCCTGGGCACAAAACAGTATGAGGGGTGGGGTAGGAGGAGCGAAGGGAGGGGCACCAGCTCTTACCATAGTAAAATGGACTGTTTTTATCTGAAAGGAAAGAAAAAAGAACATAAATCCAGGAGCAGAGCTGGAATACAGGGGGCCCAGGGGGAATTTTTTTTTGTGGTAGAAGAGCACAGTCTGACTTACCTTCCGGGTCGTTGGCATCCAGGGCAGGCAGGCCTGGCGGGAGAAGCAGGAAGGAGAGGACATGGGTGCTGGTCTCAGTGAAGCTGGCAGGGCCAGGGGCTTGGAGAAAGGCCCCCTGACGGACAGGCCCTGCCTCCAGAGAGTGCAGGGGTCCAGCCCCAAACTAGCACGTCCCATCTCGGAGGTGTGGACCCTCCACTCACCCCACACCTGCGAGCCACGCCAGCATTTTGCCTCCAGAACTAGGTTTTAACCTGGGTAGCTCTTGGCCACCCTTTGGCCCGATGTTTCCAGACCCCTGGCTGCTCCACGCCTCCTCCAGAAACGGAGCGATGTTCTCGTCCGCAGGACAGACGGTGTCAGTGCCGTCATCCTCAGAGCTCATGTCCCTGCTTGGCCATATCTTCCCCCCCCCCCACCTGTTCTGATGGTTGCTCGCCACTCCTCTTTAAAGCAACTTGTAATTATAAACTTAGTACACTTTATTTAAAACACCATCTTCTATCACCATCCTACATGGAATAGTCTTGCCTGATGTAACAGGGAAGAACAAACACAATGAAAGCGAAGGACTAGGACTAAATTCTGGCTAGAAGCGGTGGCTGCCGGAGCCTGGGGGCTAAGCTCTGTTCGTTCTTTGTTAAGGGGAGATTAATAATTTTAAATTATATTTTAAGTACAAGTACATAGTGCTTACTCTGTACAGGCACTGTTTTAAGTGCTTCCCAAATGCCAGCTCTTTCCATCCTCACAGTGACTCTCTACGTAAGTGCTGTTATTGTCCCCATTTTACAGGTAGGGAAACGGAGGCACAATTGGTAACTTGTTTCATTACCTCTAAACTCCCAGTCCCCCCCCCCCGCCCCCGTAATAAAGTGTTAGGGAGGCATGAGGACACAGCAATGGCTGAGCATTTCCTTGACGTCCTCAATGAGACATCAACACAAGGCTTTCGAGCTGGTTGAGCTGCTGCTATGAGAGGCCCTATTTTTGTGTTCTCTTGAAATCACCAGCACAACACTTCTTCCCTCAAGGAGATGCTATCCTGACAGTCACCGCCCCACAGGGGACACTGTGAGGCTTGCCTGCCGCTCAGCAGAGCAGCTCAGGGAACGGCCTTTCCGGGAACAGCACTCACCTGCCAGGAGGAGGAGGAGCAGGCTCAGGGCCACTTGCTGCATGATGGAGCCGGCCTGGAAGCGGGAGGGGAGGGCCCAGCTTTAGCACAGCTGCAGGGATGCCACCAGGGCCTCTGGTTCCCAATCCCCTCCTACTGCACGCCCCGCCCAGGGTACACACCTCACCCCAGGGTAGGAAGGCTGGCATTGAAGGCTGAGAGACAAGAGCTGAGGAGTGCAGTGGGTGCAAGGTGAGAACTCAGACCTGATGGGGGAGCAGCAATAATAACTCACTGGACATGGACTTGAGGCTTGAAGTGAATCACCCTGGCAACCAAATAAGAGAGAAGCTGCCTCTGGTTAACCCCATTTTACAGACTGGGAAACTGAGGCTCTGATAGGTGCCTTGTCAGAAGTGGGATTTAAACCAGGGCTGGCTTTGCAGCAGCTGTCCCTAACTCAGGATTCTCAGGGCCTCAGGGTGTTTTGGGAAATGGGGTGTTAGAAGCCAAGTGGCAGGAGGCCCAGTTCCTAGGAGTGTCTCCCATAGACAGCTTGGAGCCTGCCTGCCTTGCCCAGACTTTGTAGATTCAAGCCGCTCAGGGCTGGGTGTGGCGGGTAGAGCACAAGGCTGGGGTGGGGTGGGATAGACTTGGGAGAATTGGCCTGGCTGCAGCCCCAGCTCCATCTTTTGTGCCACCCTAACCATTGACCCCCATTTCTGCCCACCCCTGCTCATCCCACCCCAGTCCCTGGTTCTGCCTCTACCCAGGTCCCAGCCCCTGCTCCTACTCCACCTCCTGCCAAGCTCCTCCTGGCAGCAAATCTTCCTCCTTCCCCAGGGAGCCCTGCTCAGCACGAAGAGGACGCCTCTGTCCCCTCTTGGTCTAGGGTTAGTCCACACTCCCACCATCCTCTGTGCCTGCTATAAGCACCCGGTCTCTGTGCATCCCCTGCCCTCTCCCTGCCCCTGCCCCTGCCCCTGCCCCTGCCCCACGGCTAAAGCATCAGTTGTCATAACCTTAATAGCGAGAGCTTACACTTCCTCTGACCCACCTGTGCCGGGCACTGCCAGTGACCCTGCTGGGTTTCACTCGTCTAATCCCGACAACCCTGAAGGCCATCTGTTACCTGCCCCATCTCCTGATGGGAACACATATGTCCGCCCCACCCTGGTGGAAAGCCCCTGTGACTGGAGAGAGCACCCCCATCTTGCTCCTTCTCGATGCCTCCATGGAACCCCCACCTGAGCTGCTTTCGATTTCAGGAAGAGGGCCTGTAGTTTTGGGGAGCATTACTAATGAGTTTAGGAGCCCAAAACGTTTTAGGGGGGATCTGGGGAGGGTGTGTGGGCAGGACAGGCCTGTAGAAGGTCCTCTGCTGTTGAAAGCGACCTGGTGAGGCTTTGCCGCCCCAGGACTGGCTTTGCCGCCCCAGGACTAATAGCACTGCTAAGAGCCTGGCTGTCCAGGTTCACCGGGCACGCTGTTCTCAGTTCTGTGCACCCATTCATGCGTGCAATCTTCACAGCAGATGAAGGTGGCTCTGAGCTTAGCCCACTTTGCTGTCGCAACCCTGTAACCCGTGTGAACTACTCTGTCAGCGGCAGCTCTGAGTCTCAGCTCTTACGCCTCTTCCCATGGGATCCTCCGAGTCCCCTGCCGCTGCCGAGTCTCCATTACTCCCCCGCTCGAGCATCACCCGGCGTCCCCAGCTCAGGGGAGACTGGGGTGGTCTCAGCTGTGCCTGGCTGAGTGCTGGTGTCTGGGGGTCTGCCCTCCCCTTTCCTGTCAGGCCATCGTTGGAAGAGGCCCTGAGCTGCTCCTGAACTGACTGTTACTGGCATGAGGCTAGGAAAGGAAGGAGGCTTTGCAGATTGAGGCTCTGCTCACCCCTTTCCACTCCTTCCCGGCCACAGAGGTCCTGTCTCCGCCAGCTGCCCTCTGCTCTCCCCTCTGTCCCTCTATGGTGCTGGAGGCCACTCCTTTCAGGCATGAGGAATGACTCCTCGTGTCCCTGAAATCTCCCACCCAGCCCCCCATTTTACATCTCCTCAGGAACCTCCAGCTCCATTTTCTCGACAGGACCCCACTCCCTAGACACTCGAGTCTAGCCAGTCACCCTATCTGCTCTGATACCACCAACCATCCATGATCCACTTAGCTACCTCCATTCGCTCAGGCAGCCCTAGCCCCCTGTTGGCCCAGACGCCCCCAGTCCTGTCCTGGTCCACCCAGGTGCCCCTGATCTATCCAGACAACCCAGTCGCACCTGCAGACCTTATCCTCTCCCCAGTTGGCTCACCAGCCCCAGAGGAGACTCATGGGAGGAGGATCTCATTAGGGCTTTCTCTAATCTCCTGCTCCCGCCCCCAGAAAAGGACCTTGAAGGGAGAGGTTCTAGGGTCTTTAACAGAGAGCAGTGGAGGGAGGGGGCCCCATCGCTCACCCGTTGGCTCCCCAGGCTGTGTGGACGGTGTAGTTCCGCCTGAGTCCTGCCTTTATCTGCAGCTGCCACGCCCTAAGCAAACCTGGGCAACGCTGGGCAGGTAGAGAACAAGTCAGACTGCCTAAAGCACAGGGGCTCGCATTCCATACCTGCTCTTAAAGAGACAGCTCCAGCCACCACCCCACCACTGACAGGAGCTCCCTGGGGTCCAAGACTGAGGTGAGGTGCAGTGAGAATAGGATGGGCTGGAACTCATCCCCAACCCCGACATTAGGGGAGGGGGCTCTCTCCAATCTCCTGCCCCTCAGAAAGGGGCCTGGAAGGGAGAAAGTGCAGAGGCTTTAACAGCAGAGCATGGCTGGGGATCTGGGAGGGGGTGGAGGAGGGCTATGCAGAGGTGTAATATCCCCGTTACTTTCACTTAGATTGTGCTGTGCTTGGAGGAGGGATTGGCCTCAATCGTGGGAGAGCTAATGTCCTCTTCCAGGCCACTTGCTGCCGTTGACTTAGTTTGAGGGTCAATAGAAGATGCTGGTATGGCCAAGGAGAGGGTGGGGCTGCTTGGCCTTAGACCATGACCCCTCCCCTGTTGTGTCCCTCGTGCCCCAGGGAGACTGGGAACTGGCTCCTGGGCACCAGGTCCAGACCTTCGTAGCCCAGGCTCCTCCTAAGAGCGCTGAGAGCCTGGGTTAACAGCGGGCCTTGGAGTGGGGGGCTGCCTGCCGTTCCGGATAAGGCCCAACTGCACCATGCTCAGCTCCCGCCCTCCTTCCTCTCGCCCCTCCTC